AATTACCTGAGCTGCTGGTGAGTGGATTCATCGCTCTGCACAGAAACTGAACTTTCAGATGTGAACTCCGTTGCACTCTGTAAACTATAAAGATATATATATTTAGTGTAAAAACTTTATAAGCATTCACTGAGCAGTCAACGCTTTGCTCAACTATTGAAACTTTTTATGGAAATGCACTTTTTTATCTATACACTGTGGTTTATTGTAACAGAAAGAGATCAGTAAGATATTTTATATTAGTAAGAACAATGTTTACTGTTTCCATTTTGATTCCTCATCTCTAAAGACGAGAGGTTGAATCCTGGATCGATCACTCTTAATGGAGACACATCTGGGACCCGTGGACTCGGCAACACTTTTCTGTGAACTAAGACGAAAGTTTATTTAACACTTTATTGATGTCGAGAGAAGTCACCTACACAAAAAATTTACACATTTAATGCAAAAACTGCAGGCGAAATCCTGAGACCACTCAACTGCACTAAAAAAAAACATTTTTCACAAATCAAATATGCCGTCAGCAAAACACACAGGATACACATCACACATACAGTAAACGACACCCTAAACAAGTAAAACATCAGGATTTCCATTAAATGTATTTAAACATTTTACAACCCTGTTTATTAAATTGATAACACAACATATAAAATGTAAATATAAACAGAATCCAGTGACATACATTGGAATAATTGGAAATAGCACAAAGACGACACATCAAACATTGAAACTAGGAAAATGTATTTATTTATTGAACAAAGTAGTCTACTTTTTAAATTGAATGCCAGCAGCGCATTTCAGTAAGATGAAACAGGGGTGTGTTTACTGCTGTGATACATCGTCTTTCTCTGAGAGACTGATGACACTAAGTGTTGGAAAACATTATTCTTTAAATTCAGATGTTTTCAAACCCCAACTTTACTTCTGAAGAATGTCTTGCAAATCATTTGATTTTGCATTTATTTACATTTTACACTCTTTCCCTCTGCTTTGGAAACATGGCTACATGTGAT